AGGAGTTAAAACCAGAAAGCCTTTTGCCTGAAGGGGGGTCTGTTTTAGTGGAAGAACAGATACTCTGGAATTGGAACACCTCACACGAACAGAGGAATTGAAGATGAATCAGTTACCTGCTGGGCAAACCCAACACCAGGATCTGCTGCCCAGAGGAGAGAATAATCATGGTCCTGTCCCACCTGGCACTGGAGGAGCCAGAGGGCCTGAATTCAAAATGATTTGGACAACTCAACTGGTGAGTTGGCTCCAAAACAGCCACCTGGAAGTCAATAAAGAAAAACATGAATTACCAGCTTCAGGAAGGAGAAGGTAAACACATTACTGCAGATGGCAAGTAATTAGTGAGGCAGAAAAGTTTGTATAAATGTAGCTGGGTTCATTTTTGTAGTGAAAGCTCGCTGCTCTGGTTAATTATTTGGCCCTACAGAGGCATTCCTGGAGCCTGGGCTGCGGGTTTCATTGCAGGTATTTGGTGGGAGAGAAACGGGGGCTCTGGGAACTCCTTCACCTCTGTGGGCATTCCCAGACACACTCTGCTTGGATGCTCATGTATATACTGAATTACCCTGAGGATTGCAGCCTCCTTCATAACACTTGGCTAAGATTGTTGTAGTGATGAGCACCAAACTGACTCACTTTCCTTTATATACATATGCAAATGTAGAATGTGCATATGAATGTATTAAACCAGACTATATTCTGGTTTTGTTCTGGCTCTTCTATCTTTACTAACAAAATCTCAGATAGATCTTGCTATTTATATTTCGTTCAAAGAGCAAAGTGCCTCACTTTGCTGGGCAGTGTGTGTGCAGTGCTGTGCCTGGCATTAACTGGGTGATCCACGCCTCTGGCTGTGGGAAAGTTTAGCTGATATCCCAGATCCCAGGAGGTGACACTCAGTGTGTCCCTTGGTGTGCAGCTCCTGTGGCACCTGTCACTGCTGCAGCTGTGGCTCCCAGTGCCAGGGGTACAGTCCCAGGGCTCTGGGTCTGGCCGTGCTCTTCATTCCTGCTCGGTGGTGAGTGGGAGTTCAGGGCGCTGCAGTGAGCCTGGAGTTACACACAAAGGTAGTGATCCCTCCCAAAGGTAGTAAAATGATTGTATTATCTCCCAACAGCTTGAACCTGGAGCCTCTTTGTTAAAAACCACATGGACACATATTTCAGCTTTATTATCCCAGCTTGTTACTCCCAGGGCCCGGGCAGGCTCCATTGGTTTTATGGGTTTTGAGGCCATAATGGATGAAGCAGGGAACATTTTAACACAATGGCGTCCTTGGGAGCCCTGTGCAGAGCTGGCTGCCAGGGAGGTGCCTGGGGAGAGCCCCTGGCACCCTTTGCTGGGCTGGGCAGGGCAGTGGGGTCTGCTGGGATGGGCAGTTGGGAGTGGCAGAATTCCCTACAGGAACCACACACTGCATCCACCCTGCCCGGCTCTGCCTAGCCTGGGGCACTGTGGATGACAGGGTCAGCCTGGATGATGGGATCAGCAGGACCCTAAATGGGTTTAAGCTGGATTTGGTCAGAGGCTGCTGCTGAGTGCCAGGGCTCGCCCTGGGGCCGGAGGTGGCATCTTGGTGTGCTCTGGGATGTGTCTGCACAGCCCCTGGGGGTTTCATGTGGAGTGCCAGCACGGTGGGGATGGAAATGTGTTCTGGCTGAGTGCCAGGAGGTTCAGGCTCTTTTTCCAGGATGTAGCTCCCAAAGCTGGATGAGCCTGACTTGGCTTCAGTGCTGGTGTGGGCTGGAGGCCATGGGAGCAGAGGCCGATGGATTTCAGTGAGTTGGGGATCCAAAGGAAATGGTTTGAATCCCATAAACCTTTTAGGGACATGATGTGAAAGGTTCTCTAACACTGAGTAAGTTTAGTGTAGTCCCACACTTCTTTTCTCTTCACACTGCGGAAGAGAAAAAAGAAATTATCTTGATATGTGCATGAACTCGTGTAAATTCTCTTTTTGCTGTGAATGCTTTTTAGAACTCAAGACTGCAGCATCCAAGTAGGTCCTCCCTTCTCCATTTGTCTGCATACACAAGTCAGCCTCTCTGGCTCCTTCTCCCCTCCCAGTAATGTTCTGATGATTCAGTTTCCAAAACCTTCCCCAGCCATGGCACAAGTCTGACAGCCAGGTAGTGTGCAGCAATTCTGGGACTGACCATGGGCTGCAGGGTTTTTTCTGGTTTTGGTTTTGTTTTGTTTTTTTTTAAAATTGTGGTCAATCTGAGTACTAGGGTTTTGGCTGTTGTTGTTGTTGTTGTTTTTCAGCTAACAAAATAAATACCATGGCCAGAGGACGGTGCAGGCGGGGGATGTGATGGATGACAGCTTTACCCAGAGTGTAACTGTCACCTGCATCTGAACACACAGGTCTGGACTGGCTTATGTTAGCCCTGATCAGTGAACTCAGTGACAAAAAGAATTTGGTGTATGGATTTGGGACCAAAATTGGACAAAATTCTGTGCATTGCTGATATTTCCACGTTTTGTCTCCAAAGCCTGTTTGTTTCCTTTGGTACAGATTACAATATTGATTGTGTATTTTTCTGGAAATCAGCACACCAGCTGATGAGCCATGGAGGAATTCGATATCGGACTTGAGAATTTATTCATGTGCACATTTAAGAAAGACACAGAAAAGTTGTAATTTACTGTGCCCTTATATGTTCCCAAGCCTGATTTCACACCCAGCATTCATCAGCTCTGTGTTGAAGCACAGGTATGCCTTTTCCAAGAAGATGTGTCCATGGCACTGCTCACCTCTGTGGTTTTAGTAGATTTACCAGAGTTAGGCTTCCTGCAGGCTGAGTGCAGGAGATGAGGACTAGGAGGAAATTCTAGGATAAGAGAAATTCCCATGCAAGAGCAGCCAGGTGCCAGTCCCGCCTCTCCAGCCTGCAGTGCCTGCTGTGGGCTGCAGCCTGCACGAGTTCGTGGGCAGCTGCAGCTCCATCTGCAAAGCTGTGGCCTGGGCTTGACATTTTGCCAGACCCCTTCTGTCCTGGGGACCATAAAGTTGTGATTCCAGATAGCTGTTGGAAAAACAGCTATTTCAGATCCAGCAGTAAACAAAATGCAATTAAATTTAGCTTTATTTAGTGTTTGTGTTTTTGATTATCCCAAAGCATGTATTTTAAAATAAAAATGTTTCCAGCTCTATGGCATCCCTGAACATTTAAAGCTGGAAGAAGTAGGGGATGACTCAGAAAGCCCTTTGATTCTCACAGGATTCTTTGCTTCAGAATCACGTGTGTTTGGATTTTAGTCATGGAGCAGCTGCAGCTTTGCCTGAATAAGGACTGACCACCTCTGGCTGTTGGGGGGCCAGGCCCAGCCCCGCTGGGATCACCTGGGGAGGGGCACCAGGAGCTGATGTTATCCTGATCGGTGCCACATTTCAGCCCCAGGTGTGCAGTCCTCACTGAGCTGCTCCTGCAGAGCGTGTCAGGGCCGTGGGAGCAGCATGGCACTGCCATGGGCACAAACAGGGTCAGCCCTGGCACAGCTCTGGCCCAGCTGAGCGCCTGTGACTCGTTGCTGCCATCAGAAACACTTCAGAGCTGCACAGCACTCCTGGGGCTGCTCAGCTGCCACGGCTGGGGCTGCTCAAGGCTCGGGGCTCTTTCCTGGCAGTCAGGTCTGTTCTGGAAGGGAGCTGGGGCTGTGCAGCCCTGAGTGACGCCTCACCCAAGGCCAGGGAGGAGCAGTGGCTGCTCTGCCTCGCCTCAGGCACCGTCTCACAGGTGCTGCCGCCACCCCTGGGTCCCCAGGGACATCCCTCAGTACCTGCAAATGCTCAAGGAGCTGAGCAGAAGCCAAGGGCAAACCTTTCCTTGCCTCCACTGGAGCCAGGATTTTACCCCCAGTCACCTCCTCCCTGAGAGCTCTCCCAAAACCAGCAGAACAACAAAAAAGCATTGCACATGGTGAGCTGCAGCAGTTCCCACAGCACTTTTATTGCCTGAACGAGGAAGAACGTGAACCCTAGAGGGAAGAACGTGCCAAAGTATTTAACATTTCTTCATCTTGCATGGAGCTAAAACTTCCCAAAAATCTTTAAAAATAGCTGCAGGGATGTTTGTTCAGGGCCTAAGGCTGGGCTGAGGAGGATGTGAGATATGACCTGGAAGTGGGGAGCAAAGGGTGGTGGTGCTGGAGGTCTTCGGGGCTACTGGACTGAGGGGTGGACTGGGAGGTTTCCATGCTCTTCTCACATCCCACCTGCACTTCCAGGTTCTGATCCCTTGTAGGGATAATGGGACAACCATTGAGCCGTGCTGATGAGCTGGTGACAAATGGTGTCGCTCATAGCTACTGCTCCTTCTTTTATAGAATACTCTGGAATTTTCCTCCTGAAAGAAAAGGGAAGCTCTTGGTGGGTGTGTTAACTGCCAAGTGACCTGAGCCTGAGCCTGCTCCAAGGACGAGGCCGGGCTGGCATCCGCGGGTGACCTTCCCTGGGCGCCCTGCGACGGCAGAGCAGGGATGGGCAGGGATGAGCAGGGCAGGGCAGGGCAGGGCAGGGAAGGACAAGGCAGGGCAGGGCAGGGAAAGCAGAGCAGGGCGGGCAGGGCAGCCAGGGCAGGGCAGGGCAGGGCAGGGAAAGCAGGACAGGGCAGGGCAGGGCTGCGCTGGGGCGAGCCCGGTGCGTGCCCCCGCCCTCCGCCGTGTGCCCGGAGCCGCCGGGGGCTTCGGGCTCGGGCTGCGGCCCCCGCCCGTCACCGCAGCCTCGCTCCGCCGCTCCCCCTCGCGGCACCGCTCTGGGAACCGGGACTGCCGGGAGGAGAGGGGCTGCGGGGAACCGGGAGTGCCCGAGAGGGGCTGCGGGGAACCGGGAGTGCCCGAGAGGGGCTGCGGGGAACCGGGAGTGCCCGAGAGGGGCTGCGGGGAACCGGGAGTGCCCGGGAGAGCGGGGCTGCCCGTGAGCGGCTGCGGGGAACCGGGGCTGCCCGAGAGGGGCTGCGGGGATCGGGGCCGCCGGCGGGTGCGCGGACGGCCGCGCTCCGGGCAGGGCGCGGGGAAGATGCTGAGGCGGGTCCGGGTGCGGGGCCAGAGGCCGCGGGCGGGCCCCGAGGGGCCGGGCCGGGACCCGCCTCTGCCCGCCGCCCCCGCCGCTCGCCCGGCCCCGCGCCCGGGCAGCACCGGCGGAGACGCGGAGTGACCGGAGAGGGGACGGGGAGGAGCGGCGGGAGCCGCCACCCGGGCACGGGGACAGGGACAGGGACGGGCGGGCAGAGAGAGCGGCACGGCCGGGACGGGAGCGCCGGGGCACACAGAGCCGGGAGCCGTGGAACACCGGGAACCGAGGAGACGCGGAGAGCGGCGGGGACACCGGCTACCGCACAGCAACGCGCCGGGAGAGGCTCTGCCCACTCTCTGCCCACTCTCTGCCCACTCTCTGCCCACTCTCTGCCCTCCCCCTGCCCCAGGCTCGATGCGGGCCGGCGCTGGCCATGGAGAAGCTGTACCTGGCGGGGAGCAGCACCTGGATCATCAACAGCTCCCTGGGGAACGGCAGCCTCCGCCTGGGGAACCTGAGCGCCGGCAGGAACAGCACCGCCGACCCCCTGAAGAGGAATGAGGACATGGCCAAGGTGGAGGTGACAGTCCTGTGCCTCATCCTGTTCCTCGCCCTGACCGGCAACCTGTGCGTGCTCCTGGCCATCCACACCACCCGCCACAAGCACTCCCGCATGTACTTCTTCATGAAGCACCTGAGCATCGCCGACCTGGTCGTGGCCATCTTCCAGGTGCTGCCCCAGCTCATCTGGGACATCACCTTCAGGTTCTACGGGCCAGACTTCCTCTGCCGCTTGATCAAGTACTTGCAGGTGGTGGGAATGTTCGCTTCCACCTACATGCTCCTGCTGATGTCCCTGGACCGGTGCTGGGCCATCTGTCAGCCGCTGAGGTCCCTGCACAGGAGAGCTGACCGGGTCTCTGTCCTCCTCACCTGGCTGCTCTGCCTGCTGGTCAGCATCCCTCAGATCCACATATTTTCTCTAAGGGATGTGGGGAATGGGGTTTATGACTGTTGGGCAGATTTCATCCAGCCCTGGGGACCGAAAGCCTATGTTACCTGGATCACCCTCATGGTCTATATCATCCCTGTGTTGATGCTGAGCATCTGCTACGGCTTAATCAGCTTCAAAATCTGGCAGAACGTGAAGCTGAAGACGGCTCACGGGCCCAGCGTGGGTCTGGGCTCGGGCTCCCGCGGCGGGATGGTGTTTGCCAGGGTCAGCAGCACCAGGCTCATCTCCAAAGCCAAGATTCGGACAGTCAAAATGACCTTTATCATCGTGCTGGCGTTCATAGTGTGCTGGACTCCCTTCTTCTTCGTGCAGATGTGGTCTGTGTGGGACACCAACGCCCCGCAGGAAGGTACCGCTCCCCTCCCTCACCCTCTGGGCTCGGAGGGCTCCGCTCAGCCCCCGGGGACACCCGCGGGGAAAGTGCTCCGGGCTGGCTTTGGGGGGGGAGGAGAGAGTCCCGAGCACGGAGAAAGCCCCGACAGCGGCTGAGCTGCAGCTTGCCCGGGCCAAGAGCTACTGTAGCCCTGGCAAATTGCGGGCCACTGCGGCTCTGGGGTCGGGCAGTGCAGATGGGGGTGGCTGTCCCTGGGTGCCACTGTCCCTGCATGTTGGCTGTCCCTGGGTGCTGCTCTGGGGTCCCTGGAGACTCGCTTCCCACCCTGGGTGCTGGGACATGCTGTGGGCTGTGTGGGAGCTCAGAGAAAGCTGCACAGCCTGAATTCCTTTCCTTTGCATCGTTTCTTCCTCACTGACTTTTTGCTTTCTGCTCTTGTCCTCTTCTCCCTCTCCTCCTGCTCCATCCACCCCGGCGCTATGCTGCTGTTCTTTTATCTCTGACTGGGGCACGGTTCCCGTAGAAAACCCCTGACTTAGGAGCAAAACCTTTTCCTAAAGATGTGGTGTCAGGGATTTGCCATTTTTTCTATTTGGGCTGGCTGCTCCTGTCGTCGCTGAAGTTGCAGCTAGAACAAAACGTGTCACCTCCCTGGTCTGGCACGGCCGGATCTGTGCAGATCTGTGCTGTCCCAGGCAGACCACTGGGAGAACCACCTGGGAGACCTTCAGCAAAAGCTCTTCAGCCTTTGTGGGGCGGGAGAAAGGGCAGCAAGTGCGCCCAGGGATGAGAGCGCCCCAGGCTCAACGGAGCGCCGGGTCCGGGGTGCCAAGGGAGCAGGAGCCGCTCCCCGCAGCCCTGTGCCTCTGGGCTGCCCAGGGAGCCGGCCAGCCGTGCTCTGCCTCTCCCGCTCCTCTCTGCTCCATTTATTTCAGAAGTGTATTGTGGCTCTTGCACCTCCCTGGGCGCTCCAGGGGTTTTCCACCTGAGTCAGGCTGGTCAAAACTTCCAGTTCCTAGATGGGCTCTGGGGTGAAGCAGTGGCTTTCCCTCGTGCTGTATTTTAATCCTGCAATCTTGAGGGCTGCCCCTCCCTTCCCAACACACAACCCTCGGCAGCACTCAAATCTCTGCTGCTTTGCTGACCCTTGGACGGGATTTGTCCATCTCAATCCTTCTGGCTGCACAGGAAACCTTTCCCTTGCTCACCCTGTGCAGTAAGCCTTGCAGCACTTTCCCCTTTCCCCTTTCCCTTTCCCTTTCCCTTTCCCTTTCCCTTTCCCTTTCCCTTTCCCTTTCCCTTTCCCTTTCCCTTTCCCTTTCCCTTTCCCTTTCCCTTTCCCTTTCCCTTTCCCTTTCCCTCTTTGCTGTAAGGTGTGGAGGGATCTCCAGCCCCGCTCCTCCATCACGTTCGTGTCCCCGGGCCGCCCGTGGCTGCGGCACAGGGTGGGAGCTGTGCCAGGGCTCTTGCCGGAGGCTCTCATGGCATGGGCAGAAAAAGCCTGCGGTGGATACAAGTGCTGGAGACTCCAGGCCTTCCCTGCAGCCTCTCCTCCTCCTTGCTGGCTGCCCCTGCAGCAGCTCCTTTCCCGGGGTGTACTGCAGGGAGGGGTGTCGGGCAGCCGGGGCCGTGTGCCGTGCCCTGACACCGCCGTGCCTCTGTCCCGCAGCCTCCCCCTTCATCATCGCCATGCTCCTGGCCAGCCTCAACAGCTGCTGCAACCCCTGGATCTACATGCTCTACACCGGGCACCTCTTCCACGACCTGATGCGCCGCCTCCTCTGCTGCTCCACGCGCTACCTGAAGTCGCGGCCGGCGTGTGAGCTGAGCAAGAAGAGCAACTCCTCGTCCTTCGTCCTCAGCTGCCGGGGCACGAGCCACAGGAGCTTCGTGCAGCCGCCCGCGACGTGAGGCGGGCCGGGACCCTGTGCCTCTGCCGTGCTGCTCCGGCGCTTCCCCGCGGGCGGCTGGACCGGACACGGAGGGGTCTATAAATAGTGTATATATGGCCGTGAGCATGTACAGAGGGCCTTATTTAACGGGACGGGAGCGGGGCAGGAATTCTGTGTGCAACTTTCAGTGCTGCCTGGGATCAGACAGCAGGAACCCGTTCCTGAGCCCCAAACCCTGACTCCAGTGGCTTTGGATGCCACCGGGAGGGACAAATGACGCGGTGCTGCAGGGCAGGTGTGACAGAAGGGGCTGCGGCAGCACCGTGAGATGAGTGTCACCCCTGGTACGCGGCTGGGCACTGTCCCACCTCCTCCACAGCAGGACCCTGCAGGATGGCAGTGCCTGGCACCCCGCTCTCAGCACAGGAGCGTCGCTTCTCTTGCAGCCTGTGGGGCAGAGGCAGCGCCGTCCCTGCAGCCCTGCAGCTCTGCAGCCCTGCACCCCTGCACCATGCAGCCCTGCACCATGCCAGCCTGCACCGTGCCAGGCTGCACCGTGCCAGGCTGCACCATGCCAGGCTGCACCATGCCAGGCTGCACCATGCAGCCCTGCACCATGCCAGGCTGCACCGTGCCTGCCCTGCACCATGCCAGGCTGCACCATGCAGCCCTGCACCGTGCCAGCCTGCACCGTGCTGCCCTGCCCCGGCCGCGGGATCTGCCCCGGGGGCACAGAGCTGCCTGGGACCGGGCACTGCAGGGCACACAGCTGGGGCTCTCAAAGTGTGATGTAATTTGGCCTTTCACGATGGGAATGAACATGAAAAATGCATTTAAATGTGTCCTTTATTTCTCCACTGTCGCCAGCAGGTCCATTTGCACCTCTCCTGTCCTGACATTCCTCTGATTTTTTTGTGGAAGTTTCAAGTGAACTCTCAGCACGTTTGCTGACTGATTGAAATCCTCAGGACGCCACAGAGCATTTTCTTCCCACATTCACCTTCCCTGTCCTCGAGAGCCACAGACTCCTGCACAAAACAGGGAAGGAGGTGTCTCCCTTTCTGGAGAGTCTGAGGAAGGAGAGCAGGGCTGAGGGTGTTACCGGGATGGAGGCACGGAGAAGGGAGGAAGCTTTGGGACACGCGGGGAATTGCCCTGCAGCCCCGGCTGCAGTTTCTGGGGGTGTCTGGGGCTCAGGCAGGGCCCTGCCCCACTCCCGGGGATGCTGCAGCCGGGCGGGGCCGTGGCTGAGCTCCTGCACCGGCCCCAGGCTGCGGCAGAGCGGGGCAGGGAGAGCAGCCGGGGAGTGCCCCGGGTGGATGCGCTGCCAAGAGCTTTTCAGGAGGGTCAGACGGGACACAGAGGTGCTGACAGGTGGGCAGTGTGTGCCCCAGGTGTTGGGAGCCCAGGGAGCAATGGGGTGGGGACATCAGCATTTCAGGGGTTTTTGGGTTCAGGCAGTGAACTACCAGAACAACAAAACAATTAGAAGTAGTGTAAGTCCATCATACAATTGATTTTAATTATTTTTATTCCCACAAAAATTGAAGTATTTTTTGAGACTTTCCCCCACCTCCCTATAATTAATTAAATATCTTCTTTTTTAAAATCACTCTATCCCTCTTGGGCCCTGTTGTTGCTGGAGCTTGGGTACCACATTGCTATGGAATAACAGCAGTATACAATCCCAAGCCCTTGGAAGAGCTCCAGCAGGAAACCTGGCTCTTTCTCATCCTTGGCGTGGCACTAGAGGAGTCTTTGGCTCCAAGCCCTTGCTGGAAGCCAGGGGGAAGCGCACATGGAGACAATTGAGAACAGCCTCTGCACAAGGAGACCTCCTGGGCCCTGGTTCAGCAAAGCACTTAAGGCTGGAGCCAAAAGAGCGTTCAAGGGCCTCAAAGTGAAAGTGCGGCTCTGGGGAAGAGGGACAGCAGCTGCTGCCTGCTCCTGCTCCTGCTCCTGCTCCTTCTCCTGCTCCTGCTTCTGCTCCAGGAGGTGCTGCCTGCTCCTGCTCCTGCTCCTGCTCCTGCTCCTGCTCCTGCTCTGCTCCTGCTCCTGCTCCTGCTCCTGCCCTGCTCCTGCCCTGCTCCTGCTCCTGCTCCTGTTCCTGCTCCAGGAGGTGCTGCCTGCTCCTGCTCCTGCTCCTGCTCTGCTCCTGCTCCTGCTCCAGGAGGTGCTGCCTGCTCCTGCTCCTGCTGCAGGAGGTGCTGCCATCCCTCCGCAGGAGCTCCCGGGGCTTGGAGGGCAGAGGGGTCCCTGGCTGCTCCCTGGGCCACGAGGGGCTTCCTTCTCCTGAGGTTTCTGGCTTTGGGATGGAGTAAGGAGCAGCCTGGCCTGCTGTGCAGAGAGCATCCCTGAGAGGCAGCTCTGCTGTGGGTCCTGCAGCGGTGCTCAGCCCTGGGACCAGGGGTGTGTGGGTCCCTCACTGGATGGGGATGTCCGAGTTTGGATCCCTCACAGGACAGGGGTGTCCATGTGCAGATCCCTCACAGGACAGGGGTGTCCATGTGCAGATCCCTCACAGGACAGGGGTGTCCATGTGTGAGTCCCTCACAGGACAGGGGTGTCCGAGTTTGGATCCCTCACAGTTCAGGGGTGTCCATGTGCAGATCCCTCACAGGACAGGGGTGTCCATGTGCAGATCCCTCACAGGTCAGGGGTGTCTGAGTTTGGATCCCTCACAGGACAGGGGTGTCCATGTGCCTCGGGGCAGGCAGCCTGCACAGAGGGGGTTGTGTGAGGGCTGTTGGGGCAGCTGCCAGCACCTAAATCTCCTTCCGGACAGCAACTCGGATGTTGCTGCAGATCTTGGCGAGCGCCTCGAAGAGCGGGTCACAGAAGGTGTGGATGCAGAGGGAGTAGATCCGGCTGACACACTGGATCTCGATCAGGTAGCTCTTGATGCAGGGCACCACTGCCCAGATGTGGCAGAAGGAGATGAGGGCGAAGAGGAAGCCCCAGATGACGGCCAGGGGGATGCCCAGGACGGCAGAGAGCAGCCGGTAGCACCAGTACTTGCTGACGGTGAAGGTGGTGTAGCTGGTTTTCCAGACGCCGTCGAAGCTGTAAGTTCCCACGGGCTCAGCTATCACATCCTCAAAATCCACCTGGCAGGAGAGCAGAGGGCACAGGGGAGGTTCGGGGGTCAGCAGAGGCCCCAGTTCCACATGAGGGTCTGCAGGAGGGGAGAGCAGATCCCAAAAGGAGGGGCCTGGGGAGATGGGGACTGTGCTGGGGGATCCCTGGATCGCCGCAGCCGAGGCAGGGACAGCCCCTGCAGAGCTGGGAGAGGGCTCAGGGCTCCAGCCCTGCCTGGCACAGCCTCTGGGCAGAGAGGGCTGGCTCAGCCCAGGGCTGGGGCTCCAGCACGGGGGTCACAGTCCCATCCCACCCCTGATCTGGGCAATCAGGTGAGGCAGGCAGGAGCCCTTGGAACAGGAGCTGTGCGTGGGAGTGTTGGCTGCAGAGCCGGCCAGAGCCCATTCCTGCCCTTTTTTAGCATTCGGGGACGTGGCTGCCCACTCGGCAGGAAGGTGTTTGTGCTAATAAAGACCCAGCAGCCCTCTGGATTTATGGATTATTTATTTATACCGTAGGTGAGGTGCTCAGTGCTGTCTGTCCATGTTCCTCCTGGGAAAGGCAGCTGGGGCTCAGCCCTGCCCTTGCACTGGGGGTGTCTCTGAGTGACACACACTCCCCAAAACCCCACGCAGAGATCCCCTTGGGGTGGAACTCATCCAGGGAATATATAAGCTGAGCTATTTGTCTTGAAAACCAGCCCAGCCTCCCCCCCAGCCGCTGACGTGTCTGTACATTCATGTTAAATAACAACATTCATTCTGCTTTTGGAAGCACTTGGATCACAAAGTCACTCTGTGTCATCTTTAATTTCCTGGAGTGCTGACAGAAGTATTGGCGATGAGGAGACAGCGGCCCCGGGAGCTGCCCTGCGGTGCCATCAGCAGCCCTGGAGAGCCCAGGTGTGCTGGGGACGAGCCCAGCTCACTGCCCAGCTGCCTGATGGGCCCACCGGGACAATTAATGCAGGAGCAGGGGGGATAAAAGCACAGGCTCTGCCCCGTGGCACTGGGAATGGGCCTGGAGGAGCAGAGGGGCTCAGGCTGGGGCTGGATCCTGGGTGTGCTCAGGGAGCAGCACATGCAGGTACTGCTCCCTTACAGAACCGTGGGGCCCTTTGGGCTGGGAAAGCTCTTCGGAGGTCACCCAGTGCAGCCATGCTCTGCTCTGCTCTGGTGCTGTGCTTGGAGGAGGCTTGTGAAAGCCTCTCTGGGCAGTGCCACTTCTGTAACACGATCCCAAATTCTGGCCGCTGCTTTGTGATGCTCGGGATGTTTATCCAGGGCCGGGTGAGCCCTCCCTCCCTCCCGTGCCTCCAGAGCAGCCCTGCTGCCGTGCTCTGGCTGTTGGGATGTGCCTGGGGCAGGGACAGCAGCAGCAGGGTGAGCTGTGCTCCTGCCCGGGCTGCCTCTGCCCTCCCTCCCTCTCTTGGGCTATTTTAGGGTGGAGGAATGCTGAGCTCTGAAGGCTTCCAGTGCTGCTGGAGCAGCAGCGTGGCCCTGGGCGTGGGTGAGCTTGGAAGGTCTCTTCAGCTTTGGAGATTCTGGAGTGGGAAAGGCAGGGATGTGCTGGGGGAGAGGGGCTGGTGGGTGGCATGGATGGTGCTGGCACTGTCACCCAGCAGTAGCTGGTGGTGATCCCAGGCTGGGAACCCCAAAGCATGGCCTGGCCCTGGGATGAGCAGGCTGAGGGCTCTCCTGGTCCCTGCTGCCATGGCAGAGTGGTGCTCCCTGGCCTGGCACCTCTCCAAGCCCCAGGCCAGGGCTGTGGGATGCACTGGCAGGGAGTGGCATGGGTGCTGAGGTGTCACCGTGCCAGCAGAGCAGGGACCCCATTGATGGCTGCCACTGTCCAGCTCATCCCAGGGAATTCCATGTGACCACACCACGGTGGTAGCTGTAATGGTGTTTTCATGCCCAAACTGAGGTTTGTGTTTCAGCAGTGCTGCCAAGGTCATGGCTTGTTACAAAGCCTGTGTGAGCAGCCCTGTGCCCACTGTCCCTTCTGCTGTGGCAGTCACAAATATTTTAACAAAACCCTTCCAGCTCCTGTTCTCCTTTGGGCTGGGACTCTTTGGCTAACAGAGACAGATTTTGTTTGCTGTTCTAAGGGAGTCTAGAGGAAGCCCAGGAGTTACAATGGGAATTCCTCTTGGTCAGAAACAGGGGGAGGGAACTGGGGGCTGCTGCCCTGGGGGGAGCAATCATCCACAGACATGACAACACACCTCAAACAACAGGCACTGACACTGTGGTGTCTTGAAGGCCAGCAGCCTTTCCCCAATATCCCCTTAAACTGGTGATACTTAATTTCTGTGTTATTTTTGGCTGCCAGCTTGCTGGTGCAAAGGAAGGCGTCTCCATAAATTTTCACGCCACAATGAAGCTGGAGAGCCCATTGAAGGAATGGGAAATGAGGCATTAACTGGAGCCAGGCGTGCCACCCGGGCAGCAGGGCTGTCACCCAGCCTGGGTGTCAGGAGCCCTGGGGACAGCACCTCTGGGGACAGCACCTCTGGGTGTCAGGAGCCCTGGGGCCAGCACCTCTGGGGACAGCACCTCTGGGGCCCCAGGGCTGCTGGCGCTGTCCGAGGGGAGCCGAAGGCACGCCGGGGTCTGAAAGCCAAACGCTGGATGTGCAGCGGTGCTGGGACAGCCCTACCTTCACCACGTCCTCGTTGATGTGCCTGGGGTCTCTGTTGACCAGGTCGATCTCCTTGGTGTGCTGGTCCTTGGCGATGATCCGCTCCTGCAG